AGTAAAGAATTTGCAAAACAGCAATGCTTTGTCATTAGTGTTTTTCCTTATACCATAAGATTATGTCTACATTTTAAACTCCGCATGTGAAGCTGATGTAAGTTTTTATAGAATTCAGGTTTCATTTATGGGTTTCTATTATTTTCAGCATGTTGTCATCATAAAGTACAGTATACATTTTTCTTGTCTTTGAAAGAGCAGTTATGAAAGCTTCTATTTCTGATTGACGTGATCTCGAACTATCTCCTTTAGAAATGCATTAACATGCTTTGTTGGGTGATAATCAACTCTGCTGAGAAGGTGCCTTATGCGTGTTGGCTGTGATGGGCTGTGTGGTTTTTGTCACATTCAGTAAATGATTTTTGAGTTTATATGTGGAGTATAAGTGATTTCCTATCTTCCTGCATGGTAAAGAATTGCTCCTTTCTCTACCAGTGACAGTAGATAACTATAGTTTGCTCAAGGAACAAAGCTAAGAGTTTAATCATATGGTCTTTTGCTCTGCTGTGAAAAATGGCAGTATTGTCCGAGTAAAGACTGCAGGATCCCAACTTACGTTTTAATGTTTTATTGTTTCTGTATGTAATCTGACCTTACTATACTTACTACACTTGCACATTTGACCAAACTGGAAATCAGTAGACACAGTGAATAATTTCTCAAAGTTAAGGATATTTTTATCAGAAACAAATCTTTTGGTTCCTTACTGTTCAGCCACTGGCATTTTATCTGTGAATTTCTTCTTGATGAAGTCAAGTTAATTTTATATGTCTTTTCATAACAGTTAATTTTACTTGTTAGAGACCAACATATAATTTACAAGATTCTAACTTCTTAATCAAGATTTTGCAATATTTTGAATAAAACTCCAGCACATTTCTGACAGTATGTTTAATCCTACCCAGAAATTATGGGATGGACTAGGTTGCTCTTAAGATCCCTCCCAGTTGTATTCATGTTCATGAGTACAGCTTTCAGTGATTAATTCACATAAAAATGCATAAATTCTTCGGCAACTCCATTTCTTCCATTACTTCAAAAGTAATTTTTAAAATAGTAAAAAATGAATTGGTTTGTAATGGTCAAGAAGTATAAGCTGGGTATTGGAGTTGTAAGGTCTGGACGTGTAATTATTCCATAGACAAGGATGTGACTTTTTTTTCATTTGTTAAAATGTGCTAATCAGAGAAGAGAATGTAAACTTTGCATCTTGCAGCTTATCTTGTTTATTTTCCAGTAAGTTTATGTCAAACATGATGACTTTATAAAACAAGTGTTAATGCTGTGGTCTTTCACTTTTTTGCCTCTCAAAATATCACCATGAGATTTTTTTTGATTAAAAGCTGCTTTATTAGTACAATAGTGCTGATAATCTCACGTGACAATAGAACGGCTGTCATTAATCTGGACAAGTAGAGGCAGACATCATTTGAAAGTTCTGCACACTTGAAAGTCCATAGGAACAGGATACAGTTTGATGAACTTCAGAGGCAATTTTCTAATGCAGGGATCCCAGGATTCTCCAGAAGGAATTCCCTCCATCTGATGCAGTTGTCTTTGTGTAGCTTTGTGTATTTTTACTTCATAAACAGATTAATCGTGACATTTTTAGTCTCCCACAGGTCTATCAGGTTTTACAGACAGTTTTGCTTATTTGATGAAGTATGCCCAGCATGTTTTAAAAGATAACAACTCTGACAAAAAAATCCTGAAACAGTGATACTTATGTATGTTAGGAATCATGTTCTTGCCGAATTTTGCTATTTTGTCCTTAGACATTGGTGCTTGCAGAGATCTTGGAAAACGTGCATGTTTTTTGATAGAATAAATGTTTTGATGTTTGTTCACATAAAAATCTTAACTGTCTGGGCTTTTTTGTTTTCAGGGTTTTTCTTGGTTTTATTTTTTATGAGAGTGCTACAGACAAGTAAATTTCCTACTTTCTTTTCAGTTCCTTTATTGGGGTGGGGGGAATTGTTTTTTAAACACAAAGGTTGATGTAATGGTTGCTTTTCAGGAAGTCCTGATGATGCTTGATAACTATGTAAGGGACTTCAAAGCATTGATTGACTGGATACAGCTACAGGAGAAGCTAGAAAAAGCTGATGCTCAAAGCAGGTAATTAGACTTATTTTTTTATTAATCTACATCCAAATACTGTCTCATAGTAAACTTCATTTTGTAGCAGAGATTCAGCAAATAGAACCAATTTTAATATCTGCTCTGGGGCATCAAGTAGGAAATCTTCCTTTTGGAGAGAATTGATGTGAGGACATAGAGAGGATTTTATCCTCCTGGTAATGTTATCAGTGAACAGCTGTGCTGGAAATAGTAAAGGGTTTGGAAGTATAGTATCAGAAAGGTAAAACTGATTATGTCATTGTAATTTGTGCCTAGTGTTGAATTTGTGCCTTGGTGCCTTAGTTTTAGCTTTGAGAGGTTTTGCTGGTATAATTTGTGCCTGTAGAAGATGGGAGACCTGTAGTATGTGTGGAGTGATACACTGTAGTTCTTTGGTTTTCCTTTGTTAGGTAGTAAGTTCAGTCACTCATCTGCCTAGGTAGAGACAAAAAGTAGACCAAATGTGACAAAGTGGTTTTATTAGTTGATTATAGGTTGTTAATCCTGCCAGCAGTACTGGAACCAGTTAAAAAATAACTTATGTAAGTGCTTTTCTGAATCTGTCTTCATCAGCAGTGGGTTCTACGAGTTTGATTTTGTTTTTAATTGCCAGTGTAATTTTCATGTGAGCAGATAGTTTCAGCAGCAAGAGTTAAAAATAAAAAAGAAAATAGCATCAGCTTGAAGGAGATGCATAATGAAACTGCTACCCTGGCTTCCACCTCGAAGTGTGTCTGTTTGGATGAGAACATTTTATCTTAGTGGCAGTTAACTTAAATCAACCTGTTCAATTATCTTTGCAAGTACACATTTATCAGTAAATGTTACTGCTGACAAAGTTTGGTACGTCCGTAGTATAATAGAAGGAGTGGAAGGTGATATATTTGGTTAGTTCTGAAGTTTTTTATATACTGGAGATCTTTGATACCTGTATTAATCAGAGCAGCATTTAAACTGTATTGAATGCTCTGTTACACAGGATAGGAAAACCTAAGATACCTTAAATGGTTGTGGCCTTTTATGTGCATTGTTATTGTCACTAGCACTAGAGGATATTTCCAGTCCTACCCCTGATCCTTTCCTTTTAACTGGTTGGTTTGATGTTTGGTCCCACGCTGACATTTAAAATAAGCATGTAGTCTTGAGAGTATGTGTTATTTTTGATATGAGTCTGGCTAATGCGGTTTGGAGTTGGTGTAGAAACAATTGCTAAGATGTATGATTAAATTCAGCAGTATTCATTAATACTTTAAAGCATTTGTCGGTGCTGTTTTTCGTTTAAGGTCATAGAGGAATAATTATTGCAAATTTTATTTTTAAACTTTTCTTTCCTGAATTTGCAGACCTACTTCATTAGCCTGGGAAGTAAAGAAAATGTCTCCAGGACGCCATGTGATTCCAAGTCCATCAACCGATAGAATTAGTGTGACATCAAATGCTCGAAGAAGTTTAAATTTTGGGTATGAAACCAGATCATAAGTTTATTAAAGCTAAAATAAGGTTTCATTTGAAGCAGAGTTCATGAATAAACTATGTTTCTGTAGTAATCAATATATTGTTTTGCTGTTTTTATTCAGTCATATATGCAGTTATTTGCATTCGTGAAAGAAAAGCACACCGTCTGTAAAAGAAAATCCTATCAAGGACTTAGTTTTTTACTTCTTTATCTATTTAATTCCTGGTCATTCCAAAGACTTGAAGATAAAATACAGTTAGTGTATTTCATGTTACCTGTTTAATACTCTTTTCCCACTACAAAACAAAGGTCAAAATGTCTGTAACTGGCATTTTAAAATTGCCAGTGTATGCAATGCAAATGGCCAGCTGAGTGTGCAAAAGTAAATATAAGTCAAAAAGAGTGAATGTAAAGTGAGATTCTCATGAATAGCAAAACTGATACTAGTTTAAATATAGAGCATATTATATACTACAATAAAGCATCTTTTACTTGTTAAAATGAAGATGGCTGTTTGAAAACAGTTCAACAAAAATGTGTATAAACACCATTTTAGAGCAGCACTGTCTAGTGCTGTTTCAGTTCTGGAGAGCACGTATGTATCCAATTTAAATCTTTCTCAGGGTGTGTTTTTTAGTTCATTCAGGTTTGTTGGGATCTAGAGCACATACTATACTGTTTCATAAGTGGTTACAATGTCCTCAGCAGAGATGTAATATTAGAATCCTTGGTCAGTACTTCTGACTATTGATTGAGCTCTCTTAAATTATGAATATCAAATATTTCTACAGAAATATTACAAACTGTGTTTGGTGGAAAAATTGATCCAACAGTGCTAGTCTCTTTGTAGATATGTGTATTGATACCTACCTGACAACATTTGAGAGGTGTCTGCTTAAATGCATGATGATGGGGAGAAAATATGCACAGTAGTCAAATGAAAAATTTGAATCTGGTGGAAATCAATGCTCTTTTATTTGTATTAGAACACAAACAACAGCTCAGCATAACGATGTCTTTCGGCTAAGCTTTTTTTTGTATGTAATTACATGTTGCTATTGTTGCTGGAGTTGCTTTATTCACCATCACAGGGAGATGATTAGCAACGGTGTGTGTTAAAGCAGCTAATAACAAGATGAGTTTTCTATCCTTCAGACTTGCAAACTTTTTCTTCTTAGTCTGCTCGTATGTCTCAAAGCAAGGCAACACTAGACAACTACAATATTTTGTGTGTGTTTGAGAAAATAGGATAGAAAATAAGGATTTAGACATACTTGGTACTATGGAAATTTTTGACAGAATGCTAGGAATTATTAGGAAAAGAATAGAGGACAGGAGAGAAGGTGGTGGTGTACCACTGTAGAAGTTCATAGTGAATGACTCGTACCTTTGGTCATCTTCATCTCTTCCCAAAAGCGATGTAGAAAAAGTAAGAAAAGTACAGAAACTGGAAACAGGAACAATCAGAAGTATCCAACAGTATTGATGCAAAATTAAAAGAATTTGGAGAAGAGATAACAAGAAGGGTATGATAAATAAAATCACTTACAGAGAAGCTGAGTCGGAAAATTTTGTTCATTATTTTTCATGAAAAGGAAGTACTAACTGAAATGATCAAACACCAAGCTTAAAATGACAGAAGTATTTTTCAGGACTTAGTATGTAGAATTTGTTATTATGCGATGCTTTGGATGCCAAAAGCATAAATGAGTTCAGAAATTAATATCACAAAGATTAAAGTCCATCTTTGGTTATTAAACGCAAAGATGTGCTTAATAAATTACAACAACTCTTCAGTGTAAATTGCTGCAACCTGGAGAGTATTCCAAAGGAAAAGTCATTCTGTACTGCACGGTTCTGATAATCTCTTTGTTCGGTTGTGTGGAACTATCGGAGACAGGGTACGGGGCTTGGCCTCTTTTCCTGGTTTTCTGACATGAAATGGTATTGCATCCCCATAGGATCAATGGGGATTATTAAAAAAACAAATCAACCAGCCAGGTTTTTATAATTTATGGAATTATTGCTGATAGGTTTTTTTGATGACTGACTTGATAAAAATAGGAAATAACGAGAAGTTGACATCTCACTGGGCTTAAAATAAGTGAACAGTCTAGTTATATGGAGGCTTGCTACACATTTGTTTGAAACTTGCAAGATCTCTATTTCTTTGTCCTTGGTTTGTTTTAGCTAATGAAGAAGCTGGATTTGTTGGACTGTTTTAATCGATCTTGTAAAGCTTGGAAGAGAAATCAGTTGTATGGTTGCAGATAAAATGACTCTTGTTACAGAAGAGAATTGGACACTTCTTGAGCATGTGCTTCTGGAATGAATGTTACCATTTTGCAATTTGAAGAATTTTGCTTACATCCACTTAAATAAAACTATATAGTTTTTTTGCTCTAAACCTTGTGCAGGAAATGGCAACTTTTTACAAAAGGCAAAACAAAATAATTTGAAAACCACTACAGTTCTTTCCATCCAGAAATTCAAAGTTTAGGCAGTCATTTGGATCTTTGTGAAAATTAATAGAATGCCCTTCCAGATTTACAATTTATTTTTGCTAAATGGATAATAGAAAATAGATCTATTATTTTATTTACTTAACCTTGGAACAGAGTACCTTATGGATTTGTGTGTCACACAAATTGTGTGACATTTACAATTAAAACTGCACTTTTTCAGACTTCTTGCACGTATAGTTGGTTAGACTCCTCGTAGTAGTAATGGTTGCAGCCCATTCTGTACAGTTCATTGATACAGTTAGGCAGGACCCAGGAAGATGCAATAGAAGAGCTGTTACATTTGGCTGTAAATACTCAGCATATGTTTATTGCTATGATTTGAAAATTTAGTATCAGAGAATGTTTCTTGTGGGAATTGTTTGTCCATCACTACAGTGCTGTATGTTTCTTCAGCCACTAGACATTTCTAAAATTTTGGAACTGGCTCTGAGTCTGAATCAGTGAACACCAAGATTAAGGAGACAGTGTCCTGATGAAGTTTTCTAATGAACCATTCTGTTATTTGATTAGACACTCAAAAGAGCTGTTACTTTCTTTTAGGAACCCTGCAGCGACAATTTCTGCAACACGCCTGGCTCCTTCTGGTGTAAGTTGGGCTGATAAGGTGAAAGCCAATCATGGAACTAAAGCTGCCACTCCTGAGCTAGCAACAGCACAAACCTGTTTGCCACCTCCAGTACAGAAGTCATCGCGGAAAAATGGCAAGTCTCTTTAAGTGGCTTAAGTTATTTTCACAAACGGTGTGGTATAAGATCAGTTCAGAGTGTGACAACCTACTTTCAAATCAAAATTAGGTATAATTTTGCAAAATACAATGTTTAAATTAATATTAAGGTAAAAGATTAATGCAGCCTTATATTATCATTGTAATAGTTAGTTTGGGACAAAGTTGTGGTTTTATGTATAGGAAACTTTCCACTGTATTTCCACTAACTAGAATTTGATCTGTTAATACCAGTACATAGCACCCCAAGAAACAAAAGGTCTTTGGTCACAAACTGGTAATCTAACTGATTGCAATTTGGAATGGTTTAATAATGCAAAGAATAATAGATGTCCAAGAATCTGTAAGAGAGCTCAAGATAGTTTCATGTGCCCAGGGAGATGATGTTACCAGAACTGTGCTGAAGTAACAATTGATGTTTTTTTCTTTGAAGACAAGAATGACTACATTCAGTTATGAATTGTTTCACTAAAGATTCTTCTTGGAGAATGCTTGATGCCGGGATCTTTTTCTTCTAGAGAAGATTTGTTTAGTTGTAGACATAAAAAAACTTTACCTTTTGGTTTATAAAGTTGGTTTCTTTGCACATACTGGAACCCTGAGACTGTTTTCAGGGATGCTTTTTTCCATTTTTTTTTTTTTTCATGCGTGGTCCCAGATAACTTTCTGCAAAATCAGCAGGCAGGATGTAGAAATGGGTATTCTAAACAAAAAAAAGAAAAAAGAAATGTTCATAATTTTTTTTTTTTTAAAGAAAAATTACTGTAAGAGAAAGTATTAATTTAACATAGTTGTACGTTCAACCTAGTAGTAGTAGAAGTCATGTATAGTGGTTTGGAGACTTACGGTATATCATGGAATTAAAATACCTTGTCCAAGTGTCTTGCAATTTAACATAAGTGAGTTCAGTAGCATGCAGATTCTTATGCTTAGAAAAGAACGATCAAAACCATAGTCTAAAAATGGTTGTTTGAATGGGAATTGATTGATGCTGTTTGCATGAGGGAATATCTTGGTGTATGTAGTTGCAGTGAGCTGGTTTGAGAACAGTAGCAGTTTGGCTGAGTTTTCAACACTGTAACTGAAAGTGTAATTCCACTTTTAATTTTTGCCAGTAGTTGAAGCTACTCATAACGAAACCTTTTTCTGTTGACTATCGCTCATATTAAAGTGATATGATCCAGGCTATTGTTAAAATACCTTTATTTTAAAATACCTGATCTACTTGAAGATGTCCCTGCCCATGGCAGGGGGGTTGGACTAGATGACCTTTAAAGGTCCCTTCCAACCCAAACTATTCTATGATTCTGACATTATTAGGGATTCTTGTGCATATCGAGAATTTTATTAGCTACACGAGAATAAAACCGGTCTGCATTTCTGTATGGATAACATATTTTTAAGAAGCCAAAAGAAAACAAAAGACCTTATCCTTATGTTAGTTTTAGGCATTTAAAGGGCTGAAGAGTCAGTGTTGTGCTGTGTTTTATTGGCCGTTACCTGCAGCTGATGAGCTCCAAAAAGAGTGAAACCACTTAGGTCCTGTAGTACTGGCCTATAAGTGTTCAGTAATTTTAAAAATCAAATATACTATACCATTCAGACTTGAAACATTTCATTTTAAGAAATAACAATCATTCCTTCTAGAGGCTTTGTTTATTGTTAAGAATCTCTTATCTCTGACATTCAGCATTGGAAAATTTCAATTATTTTCTCATGGCTGAATTGTAATGTTTTTAACAAATCAAATTCTCTTTAGGAGCGTGTTATCCTTTGTGTGGAGGCTAGAATCACTTTGGTAAAATCAAA